CCAGTATCCTGTCTGCCGACAGTGGCCAGCACCAGGTGCCCCTGAGAGGGTGGACCGAAGACAACGATCAAGTGATTTATCTCCTGCCCTCTCCAGCCTCTGACAGACAGAGGCCAAGGACACCATTTTATCCCCTGGCTAATAGCCTTTTATGGACCTAACCTCCATGAAATTATCTAGCTTCTCTTTAAACTCTATTATAGTCCTAGCCTTCACAGCCTCCTCTGGCAAGGAGTTCCACAGGTTGACTACAAGCTGTGCGAAGAACTTTCTTTTATTAGTTTTAAACCTGCTACCCATTAATTTCATTTGGTGTCCTCTAGTTCTTCTATTTAGGGAACTAATAAATAACTTTTCTTTATCGGCCCTCTCCACACCACTCATGATTTTATAGGATTTAATATTAAAAACGAAAACTATGATCATAAGCAACACTGAAATCTCCCAGTATTGGGAAGATACAAAATTAAATCTCTGTTGAGAATTAATTAAAATTAACTTTCAACTTTGGGAGGGCTTCTTTCAGGTTGGTTCGACTGGTTCAGCCTACATTACTATTATTCTTAATCTGGCATTTCATTACAAAATGGCAGTCATCTAATAAATGTATGTAATGAACAAAAATAAATTGCATGGTAGCCTTGTGTTTTATATTTTGTGCAACAATGTTATTAGAAAGGGTTGAAAAAGTGGACAGTTTTCACAGACCATTGCTGAAAATTTTCCATCCAAATCTCAACCACTCTGTGAATGGGTTGAAAATCAGAAAGGTTGAAATAATGAAAAATGTGAGGATTTTCTATGAAAAATGTTTGTTGTGTAACCTACGTGCCTAGTGTGGCTCACTGTCCCATGTAGTGGCACTTAGACCACTTGCAACAAGCAATAAGAAGGGAGCTCTACAGACTCTGCTAAGAGCCAGCTGGCTTTATAGTTCAAGCCGTCGAGGCTCATACACTAAGGTGCTAGGCTCAAATCTACCTGGTAGTTACAGTTGCATTTTTAAAAGGTTCAACCACTATTGTGTACTGTAATATGTTAGCTTTTCCTTTATAGGGTGCCCATTTTCTCATATCGAGAGGCCTAAACTTTCACTTTGGTGTAAATAGCTATTTTTAACCTAAATGCCATTCTGAGTATCCAAAAGCAATACTAAAATACCCCATTACAGGGTGATCCTACTCTCAAGAATGCCTATGTTAAAATGGCATCTTCTTTGACCTAACCCTGCAGTGGCATCCACCGCACTCAGTTAAGCTCCTTATGGGTACTGGGGTCTGCCTTGTTGATGTCATGGCAGAATTAGGTCTTATTCAATAGATATGTTCTCATTGGCTATGTCTACATTGGCCCCTTTTCCGAAAGGAGCATGTTAATTTCAGAGATCGTAATAGGGAAATCCGCGGGGGATTTAAATATCCCCCGCGGCATTTAAATAAAAATGTCCGCTGCTTTTTTCCGGCTTTTAGAAAAGCCGGAATAGAGCATCTACACTGGCCCCGATCCTCCGGAAAAAGTGCCCTTTTCCGGAGGATCTTATTCCTACTTTTAAAAGCCGGAAAAAAGCGGCAGACATTTTTATTTAAATGCCACGGGGGATATTTAAATCCCCCGCGGATTTCCCTATTACGATCTCTGAAATTAACATGCCCCTTTCGGAAAAGGGGCCAATGTAGATGAGCCCATTGTGTATCTGCTGACATTCATAGTAAAAATAAGTGGATTCTGCCCTCAGGGCCGACACACAGATAGAGTGGGCTTTGAATTTGGATCCATCTTGTGCATTATCAACAGGAAGGGTTATTCAATTCCAGGCAGTCACAGCTGTATAAGCCTATTAGTGTGAATATGATTGCACAGGTATCACTTAGGGTATAATCCGAAGACCATAAAGTTACCCAGAGGAAGCTGAACACCTACTATGTCCCACAGAGCTGGAGATGAGGGGCACACTGGAAAGACTCCAGCTTGACTCCCAAGCCCAGTCTGGGTCTGCAGGCCTGGCAAAGGGAACAGATTTGATTAGACAATCACTGAGACAGTCAGTGGCGTGTCAGGGGCACGTTTTTACAGCTCCACCCGAAAAGGGAAGCTCTTGAGAGCTCTCTTGGTACAAAGCGGTGTATGCCTGATGCAGATGCTGGGAGGCAGCACTGGGATCCTGGTTTGGGATTGTGAAGACGTTAGTTTAGGGCGCTTGCCCCCGTAAATTCAGAGCAGGCCTTAGGTTCAAGTTCCAGTATCCCAAAGAAGCAGGCGCCCGCGGAGCCGGAGGCCCCCTCTCTGCAGGCAGAGCTGTGCTGAAGCCAGTGGAGCTAGTTCGAGGTATATCGGACCTCAGCTGCAGACTGCGCGCCTCTGTGCTCCATGCCCGCCCGCCTGCCTACTCCCGGCGGCAGCCCCGCCAGACACCCCTGCGAGCGGGGATCTAGGCCAAGCTGTGTGCAGGGCAGGCAGGGACCTTCCTCAGCTAGTGACCCGGCGGCCTGTCGCGTGGCAAGAGCTGACTCTCCCCGGAAACGCCGCGAGGGCTCCGGTCCCTGGAGCACCCCGGCCGCCGCCGTCCCGCGCCTCCTGGCTCCTCCCCGGCGGGCGCTGATTGGCCGCGCAGCGGGTGGCTGAGTTTGAAAGGCGGCGCCGAGCAGCCGGGGGACCGGCGACGTGCTCTGCCGGCGGGGGAGCTGCAGGTCCGTGCGCTCGTGGCGGGCCAGCAGCGTGACTGGGAGCGCGGGCGGCGAGAGGCGCCGGCACCCAGCGGGAGGATGCCGACGGCCGCGTAGGGAGCTGGGCCATGCCCCGGGGGGCCAGGCTGCGCACACGGCAATGGTAAGGCGCCGCTACTGCGCGGGGTGCAGCGATCCCGCGGGGGGAGCCCGGCCGGCGGAGACCCGGAGCCCAAGGGCCGTCGGGTTTTCTCGGTCTGCCGGGGAGGTGGGGCCGGGATGACTCCGAAGTCCGATGCTGGCGGCCGGGGCACGTGTTCCGAATCGGAGCAGGGTGCGGGCTGCGGACAGGACGGGGCAGACTTTGAACTTCGTCCCCTGCCGCGGCAGCTCTCACACAACGAGCTCCGTGGGGCGGGCAGCTCCCGCCGGTCCTGAGCATTGCCACCTCCCGGTGCTGAGGCCATACCTGGCGTGGCTGTGCCGGGCGTATTCTTCGGAGAGCCATGGGAATGATCTTTTTAAAACATGAGACATTTTGGCGCTGGAAATGGTTCTCCCTAGATTACTGTTTACATCTATATTGGACCTTAAAACAATAAACTCGGCTTGGTAGCACCGATCCACACCGAGCGCCGCGCCCCGGGCTCATTCATGGAAGGCAAGAGGGTCCAATACAGAGAAATAATGACCGAAGGAGAGAGTAGCGAGGAGTACAAGCCAGGAGATGTTTTCAGCCGGGATTTGAGAGCAGGGCTAGGCACGGGCTAGGGGAAGGCTGGGTCACCTGGCAGGAACTGCAGTGGAGGGGGCTCTGGCCCCATGGTGACCAGACTGTGTGGAGAAGTGGTCCGTTCCAGGTGGGTAGAGAGTAGGGCCGGTGCAAGCCACGGTTCCCCTTGCCACTTGGTGCCAATCAGCAATGACACTTTCCTGCTCTCTGGCTTCTATTCTGATTAGAGCGTAACGTGGTATCGCCTTGCTGACCGAGACTGCGAAGCCCTCTATGCAGGTTGACTTTTCCCTGCAGCGTGAAGCAGGTGTAGCTGAGCCGTGAGGGAGAGCGCAAGAATGCCATATGCACAACGGAGTACAGGGCTTTATGGACTCCCCGTTGTCCCTGGCTTGAAAGTATTGCATCAGTGGATGCACCTTCTCTAATACAATGGCTAATAGTTAAGCCACTGCAATCCCCCACCCCACCCCAACAATACCTCAGAGGGGACAAGTGCTTTTAGCTTGAGGGATTCAGGGGAACACTCTTCTGCATAACTGTGCTTGAGAAGCCTATACTGAATACCCATGATGTTTCTAATCTCTGACTGCCTGCTAGACAGGACACCATGTTATACCTGGCCAAGCTAAGTGCCATTACAACAGCAAATAACCAAGTGTTTGGGAGATAATTACTATCAATATGCAATTTAAAAATGTCATTTTCCTGACTTTATATATGAATGTAATTCTAAATCTAAGCTTTATGGGCCAAATTTATCTGCCAGATAAATCTGACAAAATGGAGTTACCCCAAGGATTAGTTGATCTAATTTTGTCTGATCTCATTTGGCCCAAATTTATAGAATTGCATGTGTAAAAATGTATGTAAAATTACTGAGAGATTGTGAATGCATTGGGAAAGCTGTCTAGTGAAATATGCTGGTGCAAATGCCTACAATCACATATGAAAAACTTGTCTATTTTGGGGCATGAATTGCTACAAACCAGACTATTGCTTATATGGTCACAGAAGACTTACTTAAATGTGAAAGCTGTAGAAGGTGGAAAGTACAGCTTTATATGGCATGTAGTGCTTGATGGAAGAAGCGTTCTCTAGCCATTATTTTGTACTGACTTCTATCACCATCGTGTCCATGTGCCTCCCAAGTTAATGAACTGTTATAGCAATCTCCACTGGCACCCTTGATTTGATGTCACTGACTGTTTTTATGCTAATGAAATCTTTTTCAGTCAGCTGGAATTTTTAGTAATGGTCAATGATCCATGTGAAGGTGAAAAACACCTGTGACTGTCTCGCTCGTATCTCTGCTGCTGGTTTGCAGAAAGAATGGATGGTGTATGGAGGAGTGTGTGCTGAGGAGGGGGTTGGCTGAGCACAGTTAGAGTCAATAACCTTTGTTTAAGTAGGCTTGTATTAAGAATTGCTGGAGGGCTCTGTATTTTCTAGTGAGCAATGGTGCTCTCAGAATTAAAGCAGGTTTCTGTTTTAACAGTCACATCCACAGAGTAGGGCTTTCCATGTTTGGCTGTGATAGGGCAAACCTGCGCTCATTGCAAACTCCAGTGACTGAAGGCAGGGCTTAGTACTGTCATCTTACGCAGACTCTACATCACCAAGGAAGAACCTGAACTATAGCTACATGGGAGTCTTTAATGATATATAAGGTGTGTATCCTAGATTGTCTATCTCTGTCTATAAATGTTGGGGTACCTCAGTTTAACTCCTTGGCCAGCCTACGGGGCAATAGTGAAGTCCATACTATTAATTGAGCCATGTCCATTATCACAGGTACTTGTACCGTCCTGGTGGAATGTATTTACATATTTCATGTGCTTTTAGCTGTCCTAGCTGTTCTAGTGCTGAGAGACACTGACTTGTAGGCAAACATCTGATTTCTACATGGCCTGTCTATTACTCATAGTATAACTCTTGCTTACTTTGGTTCAAGCAACAGGCCCATGATTTCAGGCTCTTCTTTTCTCCTACAGGAGTCAGTCTCTCCTTGGATGTTCTCTCTGTAAGACTGAATAACTGGGGCATGAGGACCCCCTTCTGGAGAGACGATTGAGAGAGTTTGAGTTTCAACTGACAGTTTTCTTTAACCACAGAGGCATCTTTCATTTCTCCAAAACAAATTTCCCTCATGGAAACTTCATAGAAGTCTGAGGAATTAAAACATGCACCTGCAGCTGAAAGCTGCATCTGTGCAGCTAGCAGAAGATAAGCCCTGGTTTGTCAGGTCTGAGCATGGATATAAAGTAGTAGCAGCTGGCTTGGGTTGGCTCTGTGGAACACGTGATGTCATTATGATGTCACTTCTCTTATTTTATGGAAGAGAGTGGACAAAGGTTTTTTTAATGTGAGTATTATCTTGTGTTTAAAGAGGGTCATGGAAAGATTTAATTAATCACGGAGACAAGGGAGACAGTGCAATGCTTTTGATAAGGTTTGTAGGTTTTGTTTCTGAATAATGACTGTTCCCAAATCCACGGTAGGGATGTAAGTGAGTAGTTGACTACTGGTATTCCCCCCCACCCCCACCCCTTGCTGCTTCTGTCTCTGCAGTGCCATCTGCCCACTCACTGCTGCCTCTATCAGAGGTAACAGCATGGGGGGAGCGGCAGGAGAGACTGCCACGAATCTGCTTCTGCCTGCGTTGGGGCCCAAGCTCACAGTGGGCAGAGGCTGCTCTGGCAGCAACCCCTGTTTGACAGCCTGGGCTGCTGTGGACAGGGACTGCTCCAGCCGGGCAGGCAGCCCGGCTCAGTTCCAGTGGGACTTACCCCTGCTGTGCCTCTGCAATTTAAATAAAGTAGGAGACAGGCTGTGTACCCGGTTCCTACAACATTTAAACTGCAGAGCTGCAGCAGGATTAGCTCCTGGACCCAGCACAAGCTGGGACTGAGCACCTTCCCTTATTGACTAATCGTGTAGTTCATAGAATTTTTATCAACCACATGATTAGCCAAATATCCACTGTGAGAGAGTGAAGAGAGGGGGGCCTGGCATTACAGGGGGTTAAACAAAGCCTTTTGGCCCAGCTAGCCCCACCCTGCTTTATCTGTAGCCAATGTGAGGCCTGGAGGGAGGACAAAAGGAAGGAGCCTGGCTCAGTTAGGGGCTGACCTGCAAGGAGACCAGAGTGTGGTTTTGTTTTCTTCAGGACAAGAACCAAAGCCCATCCACTTGGACAGCCAAAGGAGCAAGTAAGCCTCCAACCCATCTCCTGGGACAAAGGGGGAAACCTGCTAGAACCCTAGCTAAGGGGCAAATCTGGACTCCTTGGGTATGTCTAGACTACATGGCTCCGTTGACGGAGCCATGTAGATGAGCTTTCTACATAGGGAAATGAAGTGGCGATTTAAATAATCACCGCTTCATTTACATCAAAATGGCTGCCGTGCTGTGCTGATCAGCTGTTTGGCGGCACAGCACGGTAGTCTGGATGCTCCACGGTCGACAACGGAAGCCTTTGTGGACCACCCCGTTATGCCTCGTGGAATGAGGTACTCCCCTTTTTCGAGTACACTAATCTACATGGCTCCGTCGATGGAGCCATTTAGTTTAGACGTACCCTTAGGGCCATGCCCCAAACCTAATGATGATACTCATATAATGGGCTGTAGTTTCTAGGCTGGGGTTCTGCACCTCTTTTCTGCTGGCTAATTCTGGGACCTAACCAGTAGGCCACTCCACTGTCAGGGAGACCCAGTTACACCTACCTCTTAATATCCTGAATCCACGCCAAGGAACTGGCTGCAATCAGGTCTGAGATTCAGTCTATAATGAAGGTAGCCTTGCATGAAATACTGAGAACTGAAGAGTATACATTGTGCAGCACCTAAAGGCCACAAACAGGCAGTCCTTGGCTGCTGCATCTCTCCTCTGCTTTAGAAGCTGAAAGGACACTTGCTAATCAGATTTCCCTGTAGCATTCCCTCTAGGAATGAGAACTCAGTGCTAACCACTGAGGCTAGCATATCCAGTGATCCCTGTAAGCTGTGTGCTTGGGCAGCCACTCAGGAGAGATTCATGTTCTGTCCAGCTGATTAGCAGAGCGCCCATAGCTGGCAGCACATGTTTCTACTGGTGATGCACATCTGCACTTGCCTTAGTGCAATTAATGACATTTATTCCACACATGGATGGAAAATAGTAGACGGAACATCGGCACTATTCTTTGTCTCTTTAGAGCAGGGGTGGGAAACCTAAGGCTCAAGGGCCACATGATCCCTGGCTTGCCCTCGGGGTTCCTCCCTAACGTTTTTTTGCTTCTCACTTATGTCCTCCCCACTCCCCCGACAGATTTTTCTGTGGGTCAGCGGCCCCTGATCCAAAAAGTTTCCCCATCCCTGCTTTAGAGATTTATTGTTCACATTTAATTTTCTTGACACTGTCAGTATTGCTTGGTAGTGCAGTAGAAA